ACAAAGACATCAATAGAACGTGAAAAACTACCGTTTGTCAAAGTGCGAACAGGAATCAAAGGTCTACAAGAGATAAACTGCAGTGGTCCTCTGGCTTGAAACAGGTCGGAACTAATCTAAGTGATCATGCATAAGAATTCGATCAAGCAGGAAGGTTGAAAGCAAATGGAGCATCAAAAAACTGGCGTTCAGTTGAAGAGAGTGAGACTATTGCATGGCGATGGAAAACACTGGATCATGTTAGTCTGGCAAAAATCGGAGCTCGGATTTTGCAGAGCCGGAGTTAGTAGCTGATGTGAAACGTAGAGGTAGGCTTCTCTCAAGAGTTGGAAGGTGGCAGTGAGGTTGAAGAATGTAAGCCGGTGATATGTGGTGGAACCTCAAAGGTCTGGAGGTGTTGCATTGATAGACCACGCCAGTCCTTTGACTATGGCGTTATGGGGGTGAATCACCCAGCAGCGGGCGTTGGAGTGGAAAACAGCGCCATGGTCTTGTTGTAAAAGATGCATGGCTTGGGCTTCACCGCCGCTGGTGAATTTTGTTCCACGGCCCCAGGCGAGGAGATGGACCATGATAGAATGGACGTTTTTTGCCAGCTTCCATGTGTTGTGAAGGATGCGGGCCTGTTCGTAGTTGTCGTGGAGTTGTTGGTGAGTAATGCGTGTGGCTTGGGCGAAAAAATCCGGATTGGCATCAAAGTGGAGAATGCTGGGCAGGAGACGGCCCTGTTGCAAAATGGCAGTGATGTGGCCCTGGGGGCCTGTGTGACAGGCGTTGATGTGAACTGTTTCCGGGGTAGTGGAGGTGGCACGAGTGGCAGGCGGTGGTATGGGGCGAGTGGCCTTGTCGACCAGACTGGGAATGTTGATGCAGTGGTAGGAAAAGGTGTCGTAGGTATTAGTGGAATCATTCCACTTCACATGGGTGAGTTGGCGGAAGTCTGCCAAGTCTTCGAAGGTGAGGCCGATGTCGGCGAGAAGTTGTGCGATGTAAAGGTGTTGTGGTGTGTTTTCCGCAGCCAATTGTGCGGCGTGGAAATCGAGCCACCATACTATCTTGTCTTTTTCTGAAAGGCTCCAGAAATGTGGTGGAGGTAGTTTCCAAGGGGGGTGGGGGCGTCGTAGTGCTGGCATGTTGGGAAAGTCTGCCTGGGACATGTTCGTGATCTGGTGGTGAGGTGTAGACTGTTGATTGGGGCGGAGAGTAATGGGTGCATGGGAGCGACTGCGTGAGCGGCCATCTGAAGAGGTAGTGTATGAGGTTGACGGTGAACGGCGACGCCGACGGCGTGCCGACGATGCTTTGGTAGTGGAGGCCGCTGTGGGAGAACGATGGTGTTTGTCGCGTGTGCGACGGCTGCGGTGGCGGCGACGCCGTTTGCTGCGGCTTCTGCCGCGATGGGTGCGGCCAGTGGTTGTAGAAGGGGCCGATGTTGCTGTGAGAGGTTGCGCAGGGGACTGTTTGTGAGGCCCCGGAGCAGGTGCTGAAGATGCTTCAGTGGGGGGTGGTGGCGGTGGTGGCAGTGGTGGAGCGGTGGCTGTTGGCGGAGTAGTGTGAGTGACTGGTGTGGCAGTTGCAGCGGTGATGGCCGGTGAAGAGGCCCCCTGAGTTGGATTGACTGAGGTGGGGACGTTGTGAGCTCCAGGTGCGGGTGGCGTAAGTGCGACTGCGGGAGAAGTTGGATCGTCTGAGACAGTGGTGGTTGGGGCTGATGTTTGGTGCGGCGATGGGTGAGCCACCGAAGGAAAGAGGGAGAAAGGCTGCCAAACGCCTTGAACGGGAACATGTTGGATCGGTGGTTGCGGTGTTGGTGCCTGGGGCGCTGGAGGAGCTGATGACGCTGGTAGTGCATGTGGTAAAGAGGGTGGATGAGATAGAGGTTGTGTTGGCAGGGTCTCAAATGCCTGCGGCTGAGGTGGTGCTGGGTATGCGTGTGTGGGAGTCACCAAGGTTGGTACTGGTGGAGAATGTGTTGGCATGGGATGTGGCCACGCATGGGGTGGTGGCTGCGGTGCAGTGGTCTGAAAGTGAGGAAGAAAGGCCTGCTGTGGTAGGTGGGACAAAACGGTAGGAGCAGGTGCCGTTGGTGGAGAGTGGTGCCATGGCGGTGGCTGAGTGTTGACTGCGGGTATCGAGGGTGCGGTGCACGGTGGTGGCCAGTGTGGATAAGGCCAGGGGTACTGCATGTAGAGAAGCCAGTCCGAGAGGCTGCAAGGAATGGCGCCGGCGCGGCACAGCAGCTGAAATTGAAATTGAATGTGGGTGAAATCGGTTCCTGAGTGGATGTGCAATGGTGAAGACCTGTCATGTAATGCAATCTCTGAGAGCTGTGGTGTGAAAAACTGTGAAATCTGAAATCTGTCAAATGGCTGCGGTTAAAAGTTGATGGAGTGATCAAACGCACAAGTGGAAGAAAGTGGAAGGAATTCAGAAATCAAAGATGAGAAAACCATCGTTTATAGCCCGGCGGCTCGAAAATCAGGAAATTCAGGGATAAAATGGAAACCGTGGAATCAGTTATGAAAATGGTGAACAGTGAATTCCGGCATGGCTTCAGCGCCTCCTTTCGGAGGGTCACACCCAGTACCCACGTGGGAAGACTGAGCGGTCCACACTTCGAACTTGGGTTTTCAGTTAGACTCAATTGCCACGTTGGGAAGGAAGGCGATGGAACAGCATGGCGAAAAGTCCGATAACTTGTAGGTGTTTGAACATCGATTGTTTCACTTGACTCAGCTGCACATCGGCGGTGGTGAACGAACGGCGCGACTCAGCTGCAAAACCGAGGTTTGGGGGTGGAAACATGAAGAACCATGAATCAAAACGTGGAAAGTAGGGTGACAGCGTGTGGAAAACTCCGCAGGTACATGAGAGTGATCAGCTCTCACTTCCCTCGACACATCATAGCTTCGTTGCGTCAGGTAGATGTGTCGAGCCTGACGCCCCTGCCGTTGATGGAAAGTCTCGGTGGTGGTGGAAAGGTAAACAGGTGGAAACCCTTAGAACCAGGGTGTGACACACACACAGAGAAAACACAGACAGAGACCACATATACAGAGATCACACGCACAGAGACCACACAGACAGAGATCACACACACAGAGACAACACACACACCGAGACAACACACACCGAGATAACACAGACAGAGATCACACACACAGATCACACACACAGAGGCCACACACACACAGAGACAACGCCGAGACAACGCACGCAGAGACAACACACACCGAGATCACACAGACAGAGATCACACACACAGAGACCATACACACAGAGACACACACACAGACCACACACATCTTACGTGGCAGGCACAGCACTTTGTGAACCTCCATGTGCAAAATTCGTGGCAGGCGCGGCACTTTGTGAACCTCCATGCTCCGTTAAAGGCTCTGGCGGTTGCGTTGTCGGCGGTTATCCATTGTGATTAGAGTTTTCACTTGTTTCTTGACGTGCAGATGTCCTGGCAGGCACAGCACTTTGTGAACCTCCATGTGCAGATTTCGATTTCGTGGCAGGTGCAGCGCTTGGTGAAGCTCGAGGTGCAGATTTCGTGGCAGGCGCAGCAGTTTGTGAACCTCCATGTGCAGATTACGTGGCACGCACAGCGCTTTGTGAACCTCCATGTGCAGAATTCGTGGCAGGTGCAGCACTTTGTGAACCGGCTGTTGCGTTGTCGGCGGTTGTCGCCGGTTGCCGCCCTCCATGTGCCGATGTCGTGGCAGGTGCAGCGCTTTGTGAAGCTCGAGGTGCAGATTTTGTGGCAGGCGCAGCAGTTTTTGAACCTCCATGTGCAGATTTCGTGGCAGGCGCAGCACTTTGTGAATCTCCATGTGCAGATTTCGTGGCAGGTGCAGCGCTTTGTGAAGCTCGAGTTGCAGATTTCGTGGCAGGCGCAGCACTTTGTGAATCTCGATGTGCAGATTTCGTGGCAGGCGCAGCGCTTTGTGAACCTCCATGCTCCGTTACAGGCTCTGGCTGTTGCGTTGTCGGCGGTTGTCGCCGGTCCATCCCTCCTTTCTTGGCGTGCAGATGTCGTGGCAGGCACTGCACTTTGTGAACCTCCATGTGCAGATTTCGTGGCAGGCGCAGCGCTTTGTGAATCTCCATGTGCAGATTTCGTGGCAGGTGCAGCGCTTTGTGAAGCTCGAGGTGTAGATTTCGTGGCAGGCGCAGCACTTTGTGAATCTCCATGTGCAGATT